GTCGGTAAACAGCTCAAACGGGCTAAAAAGTAGACAGCACCCGGACTTCCCCGGTGGTCACCCACCCGAGTACTACCCGAGCTTGAGGCTGCTTAACCTAACAGAGAACAAATTGCAATACACTTTTTATCCAGCAAAATGCCTAGCTACTTGTCTTTTACTAACTAAGTTGCTCTAACATACAAACTGTAAGTGAAGAAGTCGTAGTCGCTTGCGAGGCCGTTCTAACATACAAACATCAAGTGTGAGTATACAAACCTCAAGTCACATAGTGAACCCAAGGTGCAACCCCATAAAGCACTTTGTCGCACTTCCCAACTGGGTTGCCGATTGGTGCAGTGGTTAACTACCAATGTTCCAAGCCAGTGGTTACGGGTTCGATCCCCACCGTGACCATTCTGGCGGAGTGGTGGTGCATGATATTGGGGAATTGAGCCGAGTCTTCTACTACTTGAAAAGTCTGAAATTTCGTTTGCCTGCGGTAACCGCTTCGGCGCTGTCATGTGGGAAGGCGTTACACTACCTGCCTAACCCCGGTGATATGCGAAGCTTTCTCGATAAATCAGGAAGTAGCCAACGTATGGGTACTGTCCTTCGGGGCGATAGGATAACAGTGGACGTCGTACGTCTTGCGGATCGCTAGCGCTTAAGGCTATCACGTCACCTCACTGTGTAAGTGTGTGACGCGGATCGGGTTAACCCGTGGCTCCAAACGGTCGCAGTTGGCAAATCGAGATTGACGAGCTTGAGTAGTAGTACCAAAAAACCGGAAATGGGCAAAGCCCGTTGAAGGCAAATAGGCACAGCCTAAAACCACTCTGGTAATACCAGAGTGGTAATATCACTTTCCTACCTTGCGGTTGGAAAGTGCCCATTGTATGGTAGTCGAGAGTGGGGTCCCGAGTAGCCGTAACCTTGAGCGTAGTAGCCGTAAACTTGAGCGTAATTCCTTAGCGACGTGGCAGCCGTCGTGAGTCTCTTGACCGTCAGGGGCGAGCTAATTGTAGCCTGGGAGTGTTGGCCTCATGGCACACAGCTATGCTGGGTTTTGCTCTAGTTGGGGTCTTCAGTATCGGTTTCTGCTGGGAGTACGAGGGTGAGTCCATGACTGCCCACTAAGTCCCGCAAGTGCCGACGTTGAAACCCAGAATGATTCAGCGTTTTAAGCAGAAGATCTTGATAGTAGCGCTCAACGTGGAGTGTCACTACCGCCTTGACTTGTGCTTGTACGTCGATAAGGTCGACTGAGAGCTCATGGAAGCGGATGTCGTTCCGGTGCATCCATAAACAGCGAAGAACCACAGTCCGTACAATGTGAAGCATCACAAAGAGGCTGTAGCCGTACCGGGACTTGGCAGAAGGTATGGGCTCAGCCTTGAACCACAGTATTGATTCCCATTCCAGTGTAGACTTGAAAAAGCCTTGGAAAACAGCAAGCCAGTCTTGCCACACTTTAGTTGCAAAGTCGCAGTACCAAAATAGATGGGGGGGGGCAGTCTCAAGTACATCGCACCCATGATGGCACATACACTGGGTTTCTTGGAGGTGTTGAAGCCGATAGCCAACGTAGAGAGCATTGTGTTGAAGCCGGTAAAGTAGGTCGGAGTACACTGGCAGTACATACCGTCCCATCTTGATATCCCGTGTCCACATTGACTTGGGAGGTCCACCTTTAACACCTAGGCGATTAAGGGGTAAATCAGGAACTGGATACTGGGCTAGTACCTTGCGGATGCGAGCCACACTTAGTTCAGCCACTTCATAAGTGTCAAAGACCCAGGTATATAACGCAGCGTAGTACCGCGTAGTTTGGCTTGGGCCAACTGGGAGCTCCTTGAGGGAGCCTAGCAGGCGACCAGCCTTGTTCAGGAAGCTGGCACACGAGCGTACACTGATAATCCTCCCCGTGACAAATTGGTTAAGAAACTGTGATAAAGTCTCTGCCGTCACAGGTGTTTCACAGGCGCGATAGAGTTCCAGGAGCCGAAGAATTTCTTGCTCAGCCAGAACGGAGATTAACCCCAAAGGACGAGTAGTCCCAGCCAGAGTATTACCACGGTAGCTGTAACTTGCACGTTGTGGAAAAAATGGAAACTGGCATTAATATCTCGTCTTCTCGGAAGCAAATTATGCTCGTACCCATATGCATAGACAACCACTTAGGCTTCAAATCAGATAATCTGCAGCCTAGGTACACAAAGCTAACCCCCTGGGTTATGGGTACAATCCAGATCAGGATGTACCTTGAGTAAAAATTACGTATATATTTGCTGCGTAATGGACAACTTCAGCAGTCTTGTGACCGCTGACGTCGTCCTACAACAGCAATATGCTAGCGTCATTATTCTCCCGGCTCTCAAAACGGCTCCTCAGAACTCGATAGAAAATTTGGAATTCCACCATGCTGTCTTGTTGCGGTAAATACGGCACCGATGATGTTCTTGAAGAGGCCGAACTTGACGCCTAACCGCGCCTCGAATTCTTGTAGAAGCCAAGTTGGCGATGCGGAGCTAGCGCACTCTCGGCTGTCTGCGACATGAGACTTCTTGGAGCGCATCTTCAGGTAAAGGTTAACACGACGTCTCTGGCGGGGAGATGCAATCTGAGAGAGAGAATAGAGATTAATTACATATAGTCGATTCTACACCAATTAATCCTGTGTGTCAGCACTGCGTTGCTTTCCTATCCCAGTAGAAAAAAAAAATTGGTTTAGTTTAATTGCCGATTTTTATTTAAAAAAACAAATGTACATGTATAACCACCGATAACATTTTATCCAAACCATTAATTTGCAGTTTAATAGTTTAAGGCCGTGTTCGATCTAAGCTAAAACCAGCTGTAGTTGTTATTAAAGAGCTGGAATGTCTCAACCAGCTTTATTCCGCTAAGAAACACAAAAAATGACATCCAGCAGGATAGCTCCAAACGACTGGTTTCAAAATTCAGCTCTAGGTTGAATTTTGAATCGTCCTCCTTTGCCCCTTAAAACAGTGACAGTAGTTCTAAAACCAACGGATGAAGCAGCAGACGAAGAAACAAAGGGCAGCCTGGAGGCGTGTGGATGAAAATGCGCTGCTTAAGTGCTACCTTGCAGCGCGCAGCGATGCTTCCTTAAAAAGCGACAAAGGTGACAAGTCGAAGGGCTGGGCGCTTATCGTAGCGCGCCTAGCGAAAGGGGGAATCTCTGCTGACAAAGGTTAGTGGTTTCAGTTGTCCGACACTATTGTACTGACCGTATTATTGTATTTGACAGACCAATGCAAAACTAAATACTCAAGACTGATGTACGAATACGATGTATTCAAGAGACTATGTGACTTAAGTGGTGCTGGCTGGGACAGCAAGATCAATGCTCCTACACTCATTGACGAAAACTGGGCTTCACTAGCAGTTACTCAACCTCGGAATGCTGCTCTGTACAAACGGTTCCGGCAAGAGGGCTTCGAACACAGAGAGCTGTGTGCCCTGATTGCTGGTGATTTAAGGGCCACTGCAGAGGATGCAGCCAGCGTTACTGTGTTCCCTGCAAATGAGTCTCATGCCTTATTGGACAGTCTTGCGGAGGATACCGATTACGCCGAAGAAGACATACAGTCAAGTAAAGAAGGACAACGCATGGATAACGACACGGAGCGAGAGCCACCTTTTGCGTCCCCAACAACCGGTCAGCGTGTAGCTCGAGTGAAACGTTACCGAGACGGCAGAAAGAAAAATTCACGTCGTTTGGACACCTCAGGCGAAGGCATGGCTTCATTCTTTGCAACGGCGGAGCGTTATTTTCAGCTTAAGGCAGACCTTCTTGCCAAGCAACTTGCGGACCAAGAGGGTAGCCAAGAGGTTTAATTAGCGTAGATGCAGTAAGTCCAACGCCGCGTCTCGTATATAATTACACCTTGCCATTCGACCCCACAATGTTAGCACCCTCGTCCCATTTTTCATCGCCTCTTCCCAGACCACATCCTTTGTGGCGACGACAATGGGAATGTGAACACCGTCTATAGCTCCAATAGCCTGGTCGAAGTACGGGAAATCTTGTGCAAACCAAGTAGGTACAGCCCGTGGCATCACTATGTTATAGGATAAAGACTTGATGACAGCAAACAAACCAATATGGCGGTAGCGATGTACAGTGGAAAAAGCCAGCTTAAACTTGACTTCTTGATCTCTGCAAGACACTCCCGTCCCAAGTCAATTCAATAGTACGGCCAATACTTCACGTCGATATCTCGTTTTGGATGAAATCAATGGCTCTCACAAAGTCATAGGAGCTTTTATCCATTCTGAAGTGATCGCGGAACAGAAATGGATTTGGACTGGTGTAGACTGACTGAAAAAAACGTGGCTGGGGGGTCTCTGTGCTCAATAGCCGTGGTATGGGTTCCTTGAGTGCTATTTGCTTTTGAGTTGCTGCCTCCTGCATTTTAGCAAGCGCTTGGAATAGCCACAGGTCATCGTCGTCGTCGTGGTCGCTGTCGACCATTTTTCCCTGGTGATTGGTCTTTTTTTCTTTGTCTACCTGAGTATTATGGTTGGCGGTCGCAGACGCCCTCAAATCTAGCCTTTTTCTGATGGAACACGATCACTTATTTTTATCTTTATTTTACTTAACAAAACGACTGTAAATTGATCAGGTTTAATAGTCTCCGTAGGACACTCCTGCGTTGACAATAATCTTGCACTTAGTAAGCTGTCTGTAAGCACATATACTACAACAGTACAAAATATAGAATGTCCTGATTGGCTATTTCTTTTGTCATTAATAAGTGAGACAATGAACACTTAGGCCGTGTTCGGTTTTGCAGGGGCAATGTTCGAAAATAAGGTAGAGCTGTAGAACCGAAGGTATGTTTTTTGGTTTAATATACGATACAGTACTGTACTCCGTTTTCGCGGGGGTGGACCATATAGGATTTGCAAATAAACCAGTAGCTTACAAACTATAGTTCATTTAGATTCAGGATCATCACATCCGGAAGTTTAACAAAGGTCCAAGGGCGGTGCAGTACTGAATACTGTACCCTAATTAATTTTTCTATGACTCTGTCACTGGTTAAAAACATACCAATTGAAAAAGTTAAAACCCATTCATCAGCCCATTCAAGATGCGAACGTTCCGCTCCCACTTAATTCATCGCTGCTTCACCAGGCCCCGTACGCTACCGCAGAGTAAGCCCGTCAACTCTTCCGCCGCTGTATCGTCTAGAGTGGTCGCCTACGCGGACGGTGCGTCTCGCGGCAATCCTGGCCGCAGTGGCTGCGGTGCCTTGCTGATGGACCCCATAACGGGTCGTGTGCTGGCCACAGAGACCAAGTATGTGGGCGATTTGGAGACCAACAACGCGGCCGAGTATCACGGACTCATGCTAGCACTACAACTAGCGCAGCAACACCAAGCTACCCATGTGCATGTGCACATGGACTCGCAGCTTATTGTACGGCAGATGATGGGTCAATACCGAGTCAAGGCCGCCAACCTGCGGAAACTACATCAGCAATGTAAGGAGCTTAGTGCCGCGCTGCCTTACGTGACGTTCTCCCACGTGGCTCGAGAGGAAAACACTGAAGCTGATCGACTAGCCAACGAAGCTATTGACACGGTTGGCGCCAGGGTCCAGCTTGATAAGTGAGCACAACCAAACTAGACACACAAATATTAGATGAAGAAGATGGCCTGATGCACATGCACACTCCACACGGGGAAGTATCGCTTGCCATAGCTGTGAACAACGCTCCTACTTGATTTTGAGTCACAAGATTTCAACCACGCTCCACTGGTAATTCTCATCGCCATCACCAACTAAATACAGGTTCTCCTCCATCGAACATTGCTCAGTGCATGCCATATCGTGACGACAACGTCTTGGTACATGTATTGGAATGAGCACCCTATTGTGGCAAAAAGTCGTAGAAATTTGTACATTTCAGGTTTTTGTTCTGGAAAAAAGATGCCATCTTGAAGCTTCTGACAAGTCGCTAATCTTGACGGCATGGGGAACAAGGCGAGCCGCTCAACGTCAGCCTCGCAGACGGCGCTAGAGTCGCTGCTGACTCGTCCCAGCGCCTTACAGCTAGGAATGTTCGCACTGCATGCGACAGCGCATCACGGCGTGCCGAGCAACACCAAAACGTTGGCCTTCTGTGGCCTACAGGGGATACTGGCAGTGGGCACCGCATCTGGAGCCGTTAAGCTCTATGGTGACGACGGACTGGAAGTTCTTTTAGAAGGACCCGAGTCTGCGTCGCACTTGGCGATAGGCGTCACGCATCTCCAGTTCACTGCGCGCCAGCGACTGGTCGTTGGGTACACGGACAGTTCCCTACGCGTATTCGACTTGGCGTCTGGCGCCGTGCTCTGTTGCGTATCGGACGCCTGGACCACGAGCGTCCTCACGAGTGTCGAGACCTTACACTACACTAATTTCCCCTTCTTTTTCGTGGCCACGGACGATGGAGATGTCCACGTTGTGCACGAGGAGACGGGTCGTGTCAGTACTTACGCCATCCGACCGCAGGACCTATCGGCGCCCAATGCTGAGGGAGTCACAGCCATGGCAGCCCACCCAAGAGACGGCAATCTGTTGCTCGTCGCCTACGACACGTGTCCTGCCGTGCTGCTGTGGGACTTTGCCAAGCGTAAAGTGGTGCGCGAGTTCACGCTGTCCGGTAAGGCTCACAAACTGGCATCTCCGCAATCGTCACTCCCGCCAGCCGAGTCTTCTGGTGATGGAGAGTTCATCTACAATTCACCGCAATCTTTATCCTGGCACTCGAGCGGTAAACGATTTGTAGCAGGGTACAAACACGGAGGGTTTGCGGTCTTCCGCGTGGATAAATCTCACGGTATGTATCGATACGTTGCTGAGACTGCACCTAGTGAGAAAGCTACGCCCGTGAGGCAGATCAAGTGGATCTGTGCACCGCCAACCTCCAAAAGCGCTGCTCTTCCGGGCGCTATTGTCTTTGCTGGAGGTCGCTCAGAGCCTGGAGAGTCCAAAGTGCTCACTCTCGTCCACCCATCGAGCGAAGGACGCAGCAGCGAGGACACACTGACGGATCTCGTTAAAGCAGAGAAACTGACTTGGTTTGTGACTACGATCGAGTCGGCGAATCACGCAGAAATCGTCGCGTTCGAGGCCGCACAGGACCAAGTGGACTACAGCGAAAAGATAGCTCCACTTTCCCTCATCATCCTCTCCGGAAACCCACTGGACGGCTGCTTGCCGACCGTAAGTGTGCAAAGCCTGCCGTGTTTTGTCAAGCTCTGCGATGGCGACAAAGAAGAATGGGAGTGGCGGATGGAGCGACTTCCAGAGCCTGCAGTCATCGCCCCGCTGCTGCAGCTCAGCCCGCTCAAGACGTTTACCCTAGTTAATCTATCACACTCGGACAGCACGCTGCAAGATGATTTATACTCGACGTGGAACCAAGCAAAGTACAATCCTCTGTTCCGCTTGGCTGAGAGTGGAGACTTTGACTGGCCCATCAATGGAGGCAGCGTGCTGGAACCGATGCTCAAGGGCTTCCTCGCTACAAGTGGCGCACTTGACAATGGAACGGACATTGCGCCCAACGGTATGATGTTGTTGACTGGCCACACGAATGGGGGCGTGATGTTCTGGGAAGCTCAAACAGCTGGAGATCACTTTAGCAAGGGTGCTATTCGCTTGCTTCATGTTGTGGATACACCGCTGCAGATGTCTCCTGCCCCAGTCAACCCAGAGATAACCTGTCTGTCATTCTGCGCCGACTCGCGCACTCTAGTCGTCGGTTTTGCGTCTGGAGAGGTCGCAATTCTGGAGTTTGATCAGCTAAATTCACGTCCGTCGACTAACGAGAGAGAGCGAAATGTGAACAGGGAAGTGGGCCAAAAGCCAGCAGCAGAACAACAGAGCTCTTCGATAGACCCAACAGTCCAAGAAGAAGAAGAAGAAGAAGAAGAAGAAAAAGAAGAAGAAGCTGGCTTCCGTACGCTGTTCTCCATCCATGTCCACACTGAGCCGATCTCGAAACTGGTGATGTCGTCCTTGTATGGATATGTGGCTATAGCAGACGCAGCTGCCATGGTGTCGCTTGTCGAGATCAAGACGCAGAATTTCCAGCTCTTGGTGTGCGATATCTCGCCACTTGGAGACGAATCGATGCTGGTGGATTCCTTGCTGATGAGTGAACTTGTGCAAGCGACTGAAATTCCGGGAAGTGGGTCGTCATCCTCAGAACCCCACGGAAGCACCAGAAGTGGCAAAGAATCATCAGGTATAGCCAGAAGTCACGGCGGTGACACAAACCAGAGCGTGATACAGCACCGCGAAGTGATTCCTGTGCTCTTCGTCGGACGTGGCAGCGGGAAACTGGAAATGTTCCATATGCAGTCGGCCACCAAGATGGGAGAAACGCTGGTGGACCCAGACAAGTCCACAAGTTTGTCGTCGATCATCATGGTAGACGGCGATGGCAAACGGATCGAGATTCCAGGGCGCAAGTGGGTCAAGCAAGTTAAAGCTCGCTTGGATCATGATGCTGCTGCTTCGTCAGATATGGTGGAGCCACAGCTGGTGGGGACTGCGCCACAGGTGGACGTTAGTGATACTGCCACAGATCAGTCGACTCAGCAAGTGCCAAACGCGGATTTGGAACTAACGCAGCAGCTTGTGACTGAAGCGAAGAAGGGACGATTGATGACTGCAACTACTGAAGCGCCAGTGCAAGAATCTCCGAGTTGGGAACAAAGAAATCTCGTTCAAGTTCGCGCTCCTCCAGGCTCACTTGGACTGCATCTCTTTATGGAGATAGAGCAACACGCAGTGGTGAAAGGGTTTGCGGAGGACAGCAACACAGCAGCTTTGTTCACCGCGAAGGGGGTCGGCGCAGGGCACACTCTTACAGCGATTAATGGAGTGGATGTGACGCCCCTGAACCGAGATTCAGTGTGCCGTGTGCTCGAAGAACTCCGAGAGCGTGAAAAAGCTCTTGTTTTCGCTGAGGGTTTTACTGAATCTGGAGCTGTCGACGTCCTGGCTGGGACGTCTAGGAGCCTTGCGGAGATGGAACAACCGCGATTCTTAGTGTGCGTTTGCGGCAGATTGATCCACGTGGTGCTGGCAACTGTCCCTCGAGCAGCGGAGATGGCGCTGGGTCCAAAGGACATTCCAGCTCAACCTCTTGCAAGTATCGATCTACCTGGTTCTGTGCTTGTCGCTTCGGTTGTTCGAGTGCCGGTGGGCGAAAGTGTCGAGAACTGCCTTGCTGTCGTCGACCAGAGTAAATGCGTGTACATTCTCTCGCTTCTGTCATTAAAGATGGTCTGGAAGGCGGAAAGTGGCTTTGGCTCCGGTTTGGGTCGCAGTGGTCTAGTAGACGGCATCCTGTCGGACATTTCATACGGTGGGGAGCTTGTGGTCGCCAATACTCTGGGGGAAGTGGAACGATTCTCTCTCTTCGCTGAGGCAACAACGATGGAGAACGCGATGCTGGAGCGCAAATCGATCAAGACGCGCTTACATTTGGTTGAACGTGCAGCCTTGTTCAATCAAACAGCGTCTGCTTTAACCACAGATAGCGGCAAAAAGCGAGGAATTGCGGCGGATGCTGGCAAAATGTTCAAGAAGTTGGTACTTAGCGTCACCCAGGAGGCCACAGACTTGAACAAAGTGTTCCAGTTTTCGACTGAAGAGGACGAACGGAAGCGCCTGATGGGAGATCGACCGTCTCATACCAAAGACACTGAGAGCGCCACTGCAAAGACCGAGACGGGATTAAATGCGACAAAGGATACCCTCATGCAGGCGCACCAGGTAGAGGCTGAAGTACCAAGTGTATGCAACTAATGCCTTGCTAATAACTTGTTCTCTCTCTGTGTTGCTAATCTGTAGCGGCTTGCGGAGCGTGGGGAGAAGCTCAACGATCTGGGACTCAAGACAGAGCAAATGAAGAAAACATCTGAGGATTTCTACCAGACGATGAAAGCTTTCAACGAGAAAAATGCCAACAAAAAGTGGTATGAATTCTAGGAGGAAAAACAACAACAACAACAAAAACTGTACAAGTAGGTGTAGCATTCCTCCTAACAAATGGATAGCGAATTAGTCGTACTTGACCCATATCAAAGTAAGTCCTTGCGACGGAGCGCCCTGTCCAGCTTTCCCTCGGTTTTGAGATGCTAAGATCACTGGAATGTCATCGGGTTTCAATCTTCCCAAGCCAATATCGACGAGGGTACCCACCAAGATCCGCACCATCTTGTACCTGAACCGGTTGCCCTCAAAGACCAGACGTATCCTCGTGGCTACATCCTCTCGGTACTGGGCGTCTCCTCTGTCGTCCATCATGGTCGAATGAAGCTCAATCGTTGAGATCGTGCAGATGTTGCCTCGCTCTCTGTCCACCGCTTTCTGGGGCGTGAAGGCTGAAAAGTCTTTTGTTGTTGGAGGCGTCATCAAGTGGTCGATCGCTTCCTGCATCTTGGCTACATCCAGTGGCTTGTGAACGTACCACACATTGCGACGGTGGGCGACAGGACGCAGACCACCCACGATCAGCTCGTACTCGTAGCGTTTCCGCTTGGTGTCGCTGCGCGGGTCGAAGTCGGCCTCGGCCTCAGTCATAGTGGTCATACTATGACACAAGACGTCATCAGGTAGGCGCGTGTTGAGGGCGTCGCGGAAGACGCGATCGGACTCGATGCATTGACTGACAAACACCATCACCTGACCCAGAGCATGAACGCCCGTGTCGGTGCGCGAGGCGAAGCGCAGTCTGGGCAGGCCCTTCTCGCCGGTGGTACGGAATAACGCGTCCTCGATGACTTCCTGCACAGTTCGCAGGGCGCCGGGCTGATCCTGTGCTTGGGATCCAAAGAAGGCGGCGCCGTCATATTCCACTACACAGCGACGACGGACCCAAGGAGCAGCGACGTCAACAGGCAGGAAGGCGCTGCGAGGAATGCGGAGCTTTGCCGGATGCTTGAAGCCAACAGCTCCACTCATGTCAAAGCCGAAATGGCTACATGGGGTGGACCAATCAGCAGTCGCGTCCCTTTTTGGTACGGGGAAACGTCAAGTGCGCTCGACTCGAGCGAGCCTCGAGCTATTTCTGCTCTTGGAGGCGCAATCCTGCATTGGATTTCCCCTTTTCTGCGAGCTTTCATGCCACCGCCGCTGGTCATCAAGGCGAATGCGTCTTCGCGAGGTCGCTCCTTCCCTACGCCGTTCAAATGCAGCGGAGACTTTTGCGGCTTTGCGCTGCAGCTGAGCCAGGCGGACCCTGCGAATGCTCGTCGCGCAGGAGCAAGACGAGCTGCTGCACCGCCGCCTCAAGCTGCAGCAGCGTCGGCTTTATCGCTTTTATTCACGAAAGAGGAGCTGCGAGCACTTGGAGATGCCAATCTCAGTCGACTGGTGACAGCCATGGAGATCACTCAGTCGGCAGGCAAGAGCATCGACGGGAAGCAGCTTGAGGGCGAAGACCTGCGTGTCATCACATACAAGTCCATTGCACTGGGTAGAAGTCACAAGGAAAAGCTTCAAAAGATGATACAAAGCTCAAGTCAACTGCACTCCAGCACTGACTCGCCTACCAAGGCTGGACGAGGACAGCAGTCACGTCTGCTGGACAATACACTGGCACAGAAGCTGCGTGAGAGTACACGGTCACGTGTATTTGGGGAGATGGATGGCGTGGCTAATTACTATCGCCAAGTGCGAGTGTGTGTCGATTGCTACTCTGTCTACGCGCTGCTAGACCAGGCACGACAAATGGCAGCGGGGCCACTCGTAGTAGACAAGAACGCGATTTTGCAGCAAAAGCAGCAGCAACTGAAGAGGAAGCAGCAACGGATGACTCGAAAGCAGGTTTTACTTGAGGATAAATGGGAAGAGCGTGTGGCGCAGGAGGTTCACAAGAAAGAAGCGATACTGCTACGTAAGCGTCACGACGGCTCACCGGGCGTCGAAGAATTAACCGAACCAATTGAAGAAACTGAAATCTCTTCCACCTTACCAGCTCTTGCAAACAAAAGCAACAGCGCCAGACGCAATACTGATCTCTCCACTTTGAATATGTGTGACAAAACTCGATTGCAAAATAGCAGTAAGCACGCAGTCAGCATGCCCTCATTGCAACAGCCTGAGCCTGCGTCACCGAAGAATACGAAATCTACAGCAAATAATTCGGAGACTCAACCGCGCGGACAGAAGCAACTGCTCCGCACCAATGACACTTTTGTGGGCTTAGACAACTACTTGCGCGGCGTGACCAAACGCATCGAGGCGCCTTCACTCGAACCAGATCGGCTCTTTCGAGAAGGAACCGCTACGACAAACTCCGCAAGAGCTGATAGTTCAGCGGGTCCGGCATCAATTCTCCTCATTTCTTCGGACACGGCAGTGCTAGACAACGTGCACCGGATGCTTCGCAGCTTAGCGTCGCCCACGTTTGACCTCGAAGTGGAAAGCATGACAGACGGTCGACAAGCGCTGCGAGCAGCTCAAGATTTTGACTACGACGTGATTCTCATCGAGCGAGAGTTGGCACCAGGCGACATGACGGGGATCGAATTTTCTAGGCTGTTGCGGCAGTCGCAGCTCAAGCGCCGACTTCAAGCCAATGCCCTGAACCCGACCACAATCATTTGTATTAGTTCACAGACAACGCCCGACGATCTTCAGCTGTACAAAGACAGCGGCATAGATGGCTGCATCGGGAAACCCGTGTATAGCGAATCGCTCCAGCACACGCTCCAAGCCGCTCTTCGCACACGAAAAGCTCTGCCATATCGTCAACGGGCGACAGTAAACGAGGATGTGAATGCAGCTACGCTGGCGCTCGCGAAGGCGAAAGACGAGCAACGAGCGCGACAACGCCGACATCGACGTCGACTGGAGGCTTCACACTCTTTGACAATGCCCGGTCTTGCTGAAATGGACTTGCGTGATGACTATGTGCATGGAACTTTTCAGATGGATGCTGAGACTTGCATTCCTTTCTGTGTCATGGGTGGTGCTCGGTCAAGTGTTGCTGACAAGGTAACAGACCTTACGGACTCAAGCAAGGCATTCCTTAACCTGGTTATCGTCCACGACCTCTTCGACACGTGGGAACGGTTGCAGATTCTACTACAGCCGCTGGTAGCACGTTATCGTGGTCGTGTGCAGGTGCTGCTATGGAACTATCCGGGTCAAGCGTACACAACGTGGAGGAGAGGAACTTTACTGCATAATACTTTCCACGTGGCGTGCCTTACTGCGCTGCTTGGTCATGTGACTGGAGCTTTAGGAGGCGATCGACTGCTGCGAGACAAACCCTATCATCTTGTTGGAATCGGAAATGGTGGGAATATTGCCTTGACTTTCTGTTGCTCACTTCAGCCACGTGATGTGAATACCCGTTCTCTCGTACTGCTCAATAGCTTCGCTCATGTGGATGCACAACTCGCCCAGTTCTTGCATGACAGCGCCAAAGTATTAACCTGCACGCCTGAGTCACGACCAGATCTCCCTGTGTATTTCCACGCACGCTTCCTCTTCTCACCGACGTATCTCGCGCGAGTGTCCACGCCTCTAGCACTTAATCTGTACACGGCCGTGCTCAACCCCATCACACTCGAAGGCCGACAGGCTCTTACGCTCGGAGCGCTGGCGCACCACGATCTCCGACCAGATCTCAAAAGTCTTCGAGTCCCACTCATAGCACTTTGCTCCGTTCAAAATGGGCTGGTCGATGCTGGAGCTCATGTCGAGACGATCTTAGCTCTAGCAAACCTGGAGCTGGTGGACTCGATTGGTAAAGTACTACGATACCGACGCAACAAGTCTGGGCAGCAACAGTCTGCAGGGCATAGTAAACGGCCTAGTTGTGTCGTTTGGCTTCCTGGAGGCCACGAAGCTTTACAGGAATGCAAGCAAGATGTCCTCTTGCTGCTCGAACAGCTTGTCACTGGATTCCACGAACTAAATGACGTTCCTCACGGTACGAATCGGACGCTTCCGGAACGCTCACCCGAGAAGCATAAGTCGAGATGCGAAGACGAACCACAGCGAGGAATCTCCGACAACCACGCCAAGAAGAAAGAGAAACCGCAGCGGAACTTCGAAGACGCTTTTATCGATCGTGTGCTGACTACAGTCAGGGAGACTGCGCCTACCAATTCGAGATCACAGCCCGGTCTCCAGAAGCCGCTGGATGGCGCACAGTGGCGGCTCCACCAACAGCAGATCGCTGACCAGGCAACTCTGGAGTCTTCCGTGGGCATTAGCAAGCCTCAAGCTGCAAGCTCTCAGTCGAACCAACACGCATCGACTAAACCATCAAAGTTGATCGCCCTCACGACGTGGGATCCCTCCACCCCCGCCTTTGAGCGTATTAGCACCAACGTAGTGTACCAACCAGGTGCCGGTAGTAAAATCTACCCACTGCTGCCTGAAGTGAAGGAGTACATGGGCTGGCGAGTACGTCGCAACCAGAAAAGACTCCAGCGTATGACCGTCATGGCGCGAGTAATTCAACGCGCTTTCCGAGCCTTCTACGCTCGCACACTGACGTGGCGATTGCACCGTGACAGGTGTGCTATCAACCTGCAACGTCTGTGGCGGGCTCGAGTCGCTCGCAAGCGCTACAAAGGCCTGAAACGTGAAGACTGGGCCGCTCGTTTGCTCCAGCGACACTGGAGAGGCAAAATGGGACGGACGTCGTACAAACAGCGCATGTTTGAGTACTTGGCAGCTCTGGACATTCAGCGAATCGCACGTGGCTGGCTCGCACGGCGCTCTGTGCTGCATCGACAGCAACAAATCCATCGATCGATTGTGCGAGTTCAGCAGCTAATCAGGCGATACGTAGCACGCAGGAAGTTGTTCAAGCAACGTCGTCAGCGTAATGCAGCCATCAACATTCAGCGGGTGTTCCGAGGACTGCTAGGACGTCGACGCTTCACCCGCGAGCGCGAGAAATTCCTCTTCTCCAAGACTCAGTCCCAAGGCGTAGCATTTGGCAAACAACTACTGCTCGAGTACAAACTGTACGGCACCAAGTTGCACAGTGACGTCGCGTTGCTTGCACGTGAGAAAAGCGACGTCGAAGCGCAGGCAGAAAAACATGTCAAGGAGATCTGCGAGTTTGATGAAGGCATCCGTCTCCTGGAGACTGAGTTGCTGGCTCTGGGTAAGGCAGAGACCGACAGCAACGCGTCAGGTGGAGTCAACCGAACTCTGGATGAGACAGCAAAGTGGGCTCTACGAGAACAAAAGATGCGACTGGACCGAGAGTTCTCGCAGATGCTCGCTCAGATCGCTCAGCGTCGAGAGAAACTCGTGACACTGGAAGAAACACTGGCACGTGTTGATCAAGAGAGACTGCAGAAAGAAGAAGAACTCAAGGCGCTCGAGCGGAAACTGGTGTTGTTGCTTGATGAGCAGCAGAAGGAGCTGGCGCGGATTCGAGACAAGCAAGAAACACGCTCCCAACACGCGCTGGACTTGATTCCACATGGATCTGTTCTCCCGAGCTTGATGCCATCAGGGCCCGCCAGCGTCTTCGCGAATAATCCTGTAGCTGGTGTCCCCACTACGCTAAGTCCAACCGCCAACATGTTTGAACCTGGAAGTGGATTTTGTGCAGCACCTGCTGCTACCCAAGGCTTCACACCGCAACAGCGACAGGAAGCAACTTCACTAATGGAGTCGACAGAGACGATGATGAAGTTCGGCTTCATGTCCATGTCCATGACGTATTTCAGCAGCATGAACATGGTGCGCGCCATGCGAAAGATTGGGGCACATCACTTAACTCTTGACAGCGCTGCAGCTGTGTCACATCAGCGGTGGCCTGAGAACTCTGCAGCTGAGACGCCGCCGAATGCCGCAAGCAGCCCTGCTGGTTTCCAGCCCAGCATCCCACCCGGGGGATTTCCAAGACAGCAACCATTGCAAGTGGCGGGTTGGAGCGTCAGCGACGTCGGTCGCTGGTTGGATACGCTAGCTCTGGCGCAGTACAAACGCGCATTCGCCGACGCCTCCGTTGATGGAGCCCTCCTGCTTCATCTCACAGACGACGACCTGCGTAACACTCTGGGCATGGAGCACCGTCTGCACCGCAAGAAAGTGCTCACGTCGGTGGAGGAGATGCGAGCGCGTGAACGCAACCAGATACGACAGCTTTATGGAGACGGCTCCAGCGGTATTAGCGACGTGACCCCTTTGCCCAGCAACATTCCTGTTAGAACGGTACCGGCGACCACTGCCAACCCAGTCAACGTCGTCTCGAATCCTGTTCCAGCGTCGTCCGTTGGTCCGTCACCTGGTTCGAAGGATTCTCCTCCTGGTGCAGGTCGAGTGCTAGTCTCATTCAGTGAGTTCTGTAGCCTTGTACGTCACGGTAAAGTCAAACAGATCCGAGAAGCGCTACAAGATGTCCCCGAGCGGAAATTTGATCCGTTGACCGTCAAGACGCCATTCGCGCCGGCCACGGGTACCATCTACAACGACCAACTGGAGAAGAGCGTCTTCCACATCAACAAGGGCGACGACAACGGCAACTCACCCTTGCTGTTGGCTGCGCAGAATAATCAGCTCAAGGTGGCTCAGCTACTGCTGTCCAAAGGCGCCAACCCGGACCACCAGAACGTACGTGTCGGCAGCTATTATATCTCGTCTGTTAAAGCAATCGCTCACTTTCTCTTGCCTTTCTTGCAGAGCCACGGTCACACCGCGGGCCATTACGCAATGGCCTACAGCTTCTTCGACCTGGGCGCGTGGCTGTTGGATCCCGACAAAGGCGGCGGTCGCGACGACATCTTGAACGAAAACGGTCTCGCCGCCTACGACGGTCTCAACTGAGCTTTTGGAGCAGAAACGAGGCGATGGTGGCGACCTGGAGGTGGCTGTCCACCAAGCCCAATGGCATCTTAGCGGCTTTGACGGCACTTCAGCGCCCGGGCGACGAGGATGCAGAGAAGACCCCGACGTTGACCGAGCTCCCTGCTGCCATCCGCGGCGTCGTGGTGGTCATGGAGCTGACGTTGGTCAGTGGTAGCGCGTTCTTGCTGCTACTGAGCAGCTCCGTCTTTGGAGCGTTCGCACGCAGCCTCAGCGACAACAACGTTGTCTCCTGCATCTGCGAAGCGTCAGCGTTCGGGTGGGGCCTCCTGACGTTCATGAGCTGGTTCTTCCAACTGCCCAAACGGGAGTTTGAGCGAAGACTTACACGTTTCGGGTGGAGCGGCGTGACGGCTTGCCTAGTGTCGGCACTGCTGCACGCTGGAGCTGTGATGAGTTTTACATTGTGGGATGAAGACCAGGTGCTGGTGACATGGAAGAACGTTGAAACGGCAGTGCGTCAGTCGGACGGGTCCGTCGCCACTGTGGAGATCATACAGAACCTGCTGCTCGCTCCGATGAAGGAAGAGCTTTTTTTTCGAGGAATTGTCGTACTGATGAGTATCAATCGACTGCAAAGTCTCAAGTGGAGTGCGTGGATATCCAGCGTCTTGTTCGCTGCCATCCACCTGGTCAACGTACGACGTATTGGATCGCACTATTCGATGAGTTATGTGGCGCTCCAAGTGCTTTGGGCGTGGCTCGTAGGCCTCTTCCTGGCGCTCAAACTTGCAGTCTCAGGGTCTCTTGTCCAGTGTCTGACGCTTCATGCGATCAATAACATGTTTGCGTTAGGAGTGTCTAAGACACATGCAATGGACTTCACGCAGCCAACAGTTTCCTGTTCAGTGATCATCGCATTGGCAATCTACGCTGTAGCAATTGCAAGACAACTACAAATTCTTAGCAACAATAATAAGGCAGGTCTGAAAGACATTTGAGCAAATAAATTTTTTATCTCCCTATTTCGTTCCTTGTGTCGTTCCTAGCCGCTCGTCGAGGTGCGCTCTGTCCTCTTCGTCCTCCACGGTCTCATCAAGCTGTTCAGCGATGATACGAGCAATGAAGGCGGCCACAATGATGTTGTACGTTCGACGCAAGCGATACATGGCCCACTCCATGGCTACCACATGCACAAAAGACCCGGGTACTTGGCTAGTGAACAGTGTGCGCCAAATGGTGCACGTGAACGTGAGGGCTGAGCCTGGTACAAGCGGTAAGCCGATAGAACTCGCAGTTGCAATAACAACTAGCCCGATGACGCGGCCAGGGGTGACGATGTCGCCCATGCCGCTAGTGTAGGCCATGAAGATCGGGGCCACTACAAAGAAGACTGCCGTTCCGCACAAACACAAGGACACGCCCAGGCAGATAGTGAACTGCGCCATCGTGCGTGAAACTTGGCGGGATTTCTCCAGACTGCGAAGAAGCACGGGCGTTGTAGCCAAATAGTCCCCCGTTGCCAGCATAAAGATGGCGCCTGGCATGAGGAACCACGTGAACTTCAACGGGTTGCGGCGCACTAGAACCACGTACAAGGCGCACGCCACGAAGAAGAAGTTGGCGACCAGTGCGACGATCATGGTGAGTGCGAAGTAGAGCGAGTGACGCATCGCTTCTTGTGAGATCTCACCAGTCATAATCGAGTACGTCATCATAGACAACGTCCCAAGGGGAATGTAAGGTACGAGCCAGTTGAGGATCATCTCGAGCACGATGTGAACCTGGTGAATCAACACCAGCGCGTGATTCCGCTCTCCAGCGGTTGGGTCGTATACGGCCATAATTGTCGCTCCCATGATCATACTGAAAATGGTAACGCCGAGAAATTGCACAGTCACGAAGGCGCTGGCAATGTTTTCAGTGAGAAAATCGGCAAAGAACAGCACGATCTGAGTAGCCAAACTTTGGGTGTCAGGGAACACGCCACTAGCTGACGCGAGTGATATCTGCACGCCACTTGGGAATCCCGTGACATTGACAGCGGTGAGGACTTGACCATCGAGAAAGGACTGGGCAGAACACTCATCTTGTCTAGAGAAATACTTGCCGTTCGGACACCGTAAAACGAACTGGAAGTTTGTGGTGGCTTCCGGAAAGTCAGCTTTGATCTCGAACGAGCCAGAGAAGCAGAAGGCCACGGCCACCGCTACGCAACTTGCTATCAGCGCTGCGAGGACGAAGTAAATGGCCACACGTACCATAACGGGGCGGGTCTTGTCGGAGACTACAAGGTTAGCGAAACATTTTGTGACGCTTGTGAAGATTAAAGGCAGTGCGAGGCATTCCAGCGCCCGAATCAGGAGAGATCCAAGCAGTCCGATCCAAAGTTGGGCGTCCTCGTTGACAGGATATTTGTTCAGCACTGCACCAACGACGAAGCCAATCAAGCCCGCAGAGGTTGTCAGCCACAGACTTGGTGTCTTGTAGTACAGATCCACCAGCATGTCGTCCTGTTCGTTGGGTATTGTCGTGTTTGCTGTGGCACCTGGCCAAGGAACTCCTTTGTTGTTGTTTAACGTTGGCGTGGGGTCTCGGAACTGAGCGGTGGCTGACGGACTCATCGTCATTGTCAATGGTTCGCGATCGCGTCTGCTACTTCTATCGAGAGGCAGCCCGCCACCAATGTCGTCCACGGAGCTCGAAGTCGCTGTATCAACCGACTCGACCGGGATTCCTGCGGCTGCCGCCCTGGTTGCGGCATTAGCCAGACGTTCCTCTTGCCTAGACCCCAGAAAACCATCGAATTGCCAGTCCATCGCTTCGTATGACTCAACAGACAGCTCGTTGTGAGTGGCAACAGTGCTGTATTGATTGAGCACCCACACGACCGAAATGGCAAAGGAAAGCTCGAAATGGCTCGAAACCCCTGGCGAGTGCTATTTTCTTCACAACACCAGTTCCTCTCACTTTAAATTTATATCTCTGGGAGGGGGACAGCTAAATGCGCACGATTGCTATACCCAGTTCTCGCTGTGGATCATCCCCATAACTCGTTGCTGGCGTAAATCTCGCACTGGGGTTCCCTGCGCCGCTGTGTCCGCTACCGCTACTGGTTGAGACTCGAAATAGTGAGCAATCACTAACGCAACCAACGCGCTGTTCGTGACATTCACGCAAGCGACGAACGGCCCCGTGATCCCCTCGAGTGCAGCCAAAAAGGCGAGTAATGCAGCACGCGGTCCAGTAGAAATGCCAAACACAGCACCTAGAGTCGTTGCGAGCGCCGCAGTTTTGGCTCCTGCAGGAAGTGGTGACACTACGCTGGCGATTAAGGCGTTCGCAAACACCATGGCGGTAACTGTGCTCGCAGACTGCGTTACTGCCAGTTCATCGCTGTTTAAACGTGAAGCTGTGAGCACAAACAGGGAGCTGACGGAGAGATAGAGCGCCGCGCCTGTCTGGTTGAGCACTGTGCCAGTTGAGCACACGATGAAGGCCAGCTTGGAAGAAACTCGCTTGCTTGATGCAATGCAGGAGACGGTGGCTGGCAGCGCAACCACGGATGACCCGGAACTAATCGCCAGTAGCTGCGCTGGTACGAGATGCTCCAAGAACGCGAACGGGTTGGATCGGGTGAAAACTGCAGCCAGGGAGATCATAATTACCACATCCAGAACCAGCGTGAGGAGGAGGACAGCTATGAGCGCCAAGACGACAGCGACAGCAGTGTTGTCATCATTGTGGTCGGAAGAGGAAGAGCTGGGCCGTGCTTGCAACAATACACTGCTGATCATGAAGGCCACAGTCATAGGAAGATACTTTTGCAGCCACGCCAGCACGGAACATATCAAGGCTTCGGCCTGAGCGACCAGTTGCAGCAACACAAACTCCTTCTGCACTTGGTCTTGCTCGTGACTATCTTCGTCTTCACCTTGAGTCGCTTCTGCCAAGGCGAAGCCTGCCAATGCTGCTCCTAACGCGAGTCCTCCTACTACGAGACTCAGAACATCTCCGTCGACGCACACGGCTCCTAGACTCACTGGAAAGACGCTCTCCGCCACCTTCACGACCTGTTCCGCTACACTCCGGACCTCGGTCACTGAATTCATCACGAAAGTTTGTGCCACGTCGTCGATCACGAACGTCGTGGCGTTCTCCGTGCACATTAGCGTGCCGTCGCTCTGCAGTGCCATCGATCCGTTCGAAATTGCATCGGGACACACGAAACCTACCGTCGCGCCTTCAGGTAGTCCCCAGATCTGCGTGAGTAGGGCGCTACTGGGCACGATGCTCTGTAAGGCCACAACCAGAAGCGCACCCAGCAGACTGGCGAGCAGCGTGGCTAACGCGAAGGCTGCAAGTGTCGCTCCCGCGATTTGCACCCACCGAGCCTGCGGCGACTTGAGCTGTTCGCGTGCCACTTGCACCCCCGTGAGCACCGCATGCAGTGCCGTCGCGGGTAGCGCAAGACACACAAAGGCGTTTAATAATAAATCGCCAGGTAGATGTAGCATCCAGCGCACCACCGCTGCGGTGCGCACACCTGACAGGGCCACGCCCAGCGACACGAAGGCGCCGCCGAACACGCCCAGGAAGAGCGGAAGCAGCCGCGGCGCCGTCACGCGACAGAAGAAAACACCATCAACCCCGGTCAGGGGCGGAGAGGAGGACGGCATCGCGACAAGAATGCCACTGCGCAGGGGATGACCAGCTCACATGTAGAAGTGCGTCTGCGAGTGAGGTAGAGGATTACCGGATGACCACAGCACATGGTGACAACGTGAGCTTCGTTTACATTGGATCTAGGCGATGTAGACCACATCAGTGATCTTGAAGGGTGGAAAATATATAATCGGTTACTTTTAACTTTAGAAATTGATTTCTAGATTGATGGGAATTTTTATTTGCTATGTATTGTTGATTTTAAATGAGTTTAATAAAACCGCTGAGTTTTAATCCAAAAGTAGCCAAAATTTGAGTAATCGGCAAGATTAACTCATATATTATAGTTCTGCGACCAAAATGTAGCAACAAAAGTGACCGATTCACAATGATCTTTTGTGGTATACTGTACCATTAATTCATGTCACTTCAATCTGCCATCATCCACTCTGATCATTTGCCAATCACCCATGGCCACGCCCAAGACGCCGACGCCAACGCAGCTCGTGGCGCGCAGCAAGCGCTTCTTCTACGGCGCTACAGCCGCCGGTGAGTAGCGCTGCTTTTGTCTTATCTGTCTTATTTCGCCCTCCTCTTCTTGCTCCGCCACCTCACCAACGCTCTATCGTAGTAAGTGGCACGTTCCGAGCACTGGCCGACGAAGATGTGCGCGTTGTATTCTGGAGGTAAATCCGCTAAAAAGGTTGCAGCTGTATATACCTTCTGCAAGGCTAACATATTACCTTATGATGTTACAGGAGCATGAAGGTGCTGCTGATCATGGCCGCCGTGTTGTCTGTAGTGCTGCACGTGCTACTGCTGCCCATCGAGTGGATCAGCATGATTTTTCTGAGCCCTGAGACGGTGGACGCCACCGTGCGCGCCTTCCGCTATGCTGCTGCATCCACGGTCCCATTTCTGCTCGTCAGCGTGTGCCGATACTTTAGCGTCAGTATGTTCGAGAATGCATTCTTCGCTGGGCTCGCCACGCGTGACACCGAACTCGTCAAGGTGATCAGAAAGGTGCAGCAATGGATAACGTGGCACTCTATTACTTAAGCACCGACTGACTGATTCTTTTTGCGTTTCAGAGAAAAGCAATCTACTGGGACTGGGAGTACGTCCGACACTTGATGCGCTTTGGGCTGCGCCAGCTTGGCTTCGGCCTCGTGGCTTTGGTGGCGAAACCTCTTTTGGGTGTATTGATCCCCGTTGCGCAGTTTGGATACCGGTAAGCTCTTGTAACTACAGTCCAGACGTCCATTCATTGCTCACTCTCCTTTCTACGGCAGCATTCGACACATGGAGCCGGCTTTTCTTGTGCCTCTCTTTGTGGCCTTTGTTTTTCCGGCAACGCGCGAGGCAGCGCTGCAACTTGTCCACATGTGGCTGGACTCACGGGCCATGATCCGCGAACTTTATGACCCCATCATCGCTCGTCTAAAATCTGCTGCAAAGGACGGCGACCCCAATGTTAGCACCGATCTGCTCACCGACATGGAGATCGACAGTGAGAAGTACGATAGTCGTGCAGAGAAGCGGGATTGGCGTCAGACCGGAAGTGACGCCGCACGACTGGGCTTCGGACTCGTCTTTTGCTACATGCTCCAGGTCCCTTTTCTTGGGCCATTCACCTGGTTTGTTGGTTTTGCGTCTGCTGGCCTGTTCGCCCCCGAGCTGGTGGATTTGACCGCTTTTGGAAACGTGAACAAGAAAATGAAGTAGACCGATGAATTTTTCTGAAAGTAAAGATTCTTGCAGTGAATCTATGACTTTTTAAAATACTAACGCTAAAATGTTTACTTCAAGTAGTATTTTAAAGCTCAATATCTTACGATCTAATACATGTATACTTGAAGTATAACTAATATGATACTTACACTTTTAAGTATTTAAGAAACCGACTTTACAGTATCAATGATATCGTCTTTTACGAGTATGAAAAGTTTTTATTACCAAGATCTGACACACAGAACACACTAATATATGTCGTATTATACAAAGCCATTCAATATTTGTAAGGAGCAGATGTTCAACATCAGGACAGGCGTATAACTGTTTAGCACGTTTCACACGACAATGTCGTAGTGTTAGATGCGTTTACATGAATACTATGTCGTAACGGACGACGTTATTGACGCGAGCGCCGACGTCCTGCGTATCTCAATGACTACGTGGTGAATGTGACGATGAATTCCCCTCGAGTACTGGACAAGAATGAAATACCTATTCGTGCGAGCGAGATCAAAGTTCCACGCAATCGTCGCGAGATGTTGCGGTCAAAGTGCTATGACTTCTTCATGATGGCAGAGATGGCAGAACTAGCAGCACTAAAGGCAAAGAGGGGGATTGCTGAGATTCCTGCGAATGAAATACCGGAGGGAGCAGCACCTGTGAAAACGATGTGGGTGCATGACATCAAGTCAGATCACTAGCAGAGACCTAAGCTTGATTTCAAAGAGACATTCCCGCCTGTGGCGAGGATGTCGTCGCTCAGACTGCTGTTAGCATTAGCAGCACAGCTGGGGCTACTGGTGTATGGCGGTGATATCAATACCACGTACCTGAATGCATGGCTAGCGATCCAACAGTATTTGAGATCCATCGATGGATATCCATGCGAGATCAACGGATACATGTATGTCGTGTTATATCACTGTATGCCTTGTACCAGTCGGGTCGCGAGTGGAACTCGGAGCTGAACAATTGATTCATTAAGCACGGCTACATGCAGTCGCAGACGGAACCTTGTTTTTTTACGGAGGCACGATAATGTACGTGCTGGTGTATGCCGACGACATACTGGTGGCGACGAACGATGAGCAGAGCAAGAAGGACTTTCTCGAAGAGCTGAACAAGGCGTACGAAATTAAAGTCTGTGACGGGGTCACACAGCACCTTGCGCTAGAGGAAGTTATCTTCCGAGAGTATACAAACTCTCAGTGAACGGCAGTTCACTGGTCCCCTCTTTAATTAAAGAGAGCGAAGTGACCTAAATATGGTAGATTGTAAACTGAGTATATTTATAGGTAGGTTAAGTTTGGGTTTAATACAAACTATAAGTTACCGATAGAAATGCAGTGTCATTTAACCAATGGTTGGCTTTGAACGACCTCGGTACCTTGTACCAAATATCCCGGAGTATGACGTGTCATACTCCTGAAGTGTGAAGTGTCACACTTCATGTAACCAGGGTACACTTAGGGCTACGTACCCCGTTACATCCTCCCCCACTTAGGTTCGGTTTACCGACCAATCAGAATGAAGAGGTGCTCGTCACAAACTCTCATTCTCAAAGTCGAAAACCATCGACTTGGCCGCGCGAGCGCGGCGGAGGCTCACTTCACAGTTAGAGCCTCGAGAAGCAACCTGTGCGCTCTTCGTCTAGGTCTCCACTTCGACCGTTATCATGCCTCGTGGCACTGCAAAGAGCGGTGCTAAGACACGCTCCAAGGCTGCTGCCGGTAAGGCGCAAGCCAAGAGCACTAAGCCTCCGGCAAAGGCTCTGCACTCAAGGAGGCTACTCAGGTGGCCTCCGAGACGATCGGATCCTCGGGTGACGCGGCTGTGGACAAGCGCGCAAGCAGGGGCCGCAGTCCGTCGCCCTCGTCTTCAGCCAATAGTCCGAACCCTCGGTTCGTAGAGCGTGAGCTCAACTCGGGCAGTGAAGACGATGCCGAGTCCGAGAGCACTCATGATGCTCCTGCGGGCTCTGTGGGAGGGCACAGCCCAGTGCCCAGTGAGCACAAAGATGACAGCGTGCAGTCGCCCGCTAGTGATCACGGTGATCACAGTCCCAGGACCTCTGTGCGCTCTGAGAGTCCGGCCGTTAAGGCTAAGGGCGCTCCTAAAGCCGGTGGCGATGAGGAAGAGAATCCTCGCAAACGTCTCTCGCTTGCCGAGGGTCTTGCGCGCGCTAAGACTCTGATAGGAGCGTCGAGTCTCCTTCTCCGCGAGGAGAAGGAGGAAGAAGAGGAAGAGGAGGGTGCTATCGTTGAGCCCCGGGAGGTCTCGAATGACCTCGACCAGCAGCAGGAGGATTTCCAAGCTGCCCAGCGTGTGCGTGGGGGTTCGGTGGTGGCACCCGTCAGCCAGGGAGCTGCCATCAACTCAAGAGGGTATTGGCCTCCGGAGGATAGCTCTGGGGCTGACCTCTTCTTGGAGGTTCTCGTCGCTCCTCGTGGCCTTGTGGGCGGCCACACTTCTAGGGGCATCTATGAACGAGCCCTTGTTCAGAAAGAACAGTTGTTCGTCGACAACTTGGAGGCTGCTCGGTGTGTGCTTCTCGCGCCACACCGCATTCCCCTTAAGGACTTCACGACTTGTCGTAAGAAGCCCGAGACCCGGGGTGGTCTCTATCCTGTTTGGGGATACCCCTGTGTTATGCCCGAGAACTGTCCCACGTGGAGTTCTTGTGAGGACATGTTCTGGGCGTGGGTGGAGACTCTCAAGTACTCGCCCACGGAGTTATGGGAACTCCATGAAGATCAGCAGCTGTCCCACATCCTGGACCAGCGTGATCTTCGTGTGAGGTTTGCCCACTTGATCAGCAAGCGTATGCTGCCAAAGGACATCCTGAAGCGCGCGGCTTCTAGCGCTCACGATGAGCGCGGGTACGGTATGTATTCATCGTCCGTACCTCGTTCGGGCAAGAAGCCCCGAACTACTTATGAAGCTGCCGCCGCTTCTGTTCCCAGATTGCGACAGCCTTCGGGTAGTCAATCAGGAGCCGTTCAATCGGCTCCCACGAGTTCTCGGAGTGGGCATAACCCCTCCACTTCACGAGGAGCTGTCGCTTACCGCGACACCGTTGCTCCTGGAGGATCCGCTCCCCGTGGAAGTGGACTTCTCCATTCCGGTCAAGCAGGGGCGGAGGTGCTCTCGTACGAGTACGAGTACTCGGCGCCTCTCGAGAGCCACTCTCGTCCGAGTGCTCCGACTGCGTGTCCGACACGGGACCCTGAGGTTGACCGCCTCCGTCAACGTGTCCTCGTGCTTGAGCTTGCACTTGGCCTTGGGACTGGCGGTAATGCTGCCGCCCAGGCCGGGAATCAGGGCGAGCTCGCTCGTCTTGCACGTCGCCTGGACCTGGTGGAGCGAGAGGTCGCGAGCCTGCACCTGCGGGTGGATCGCCGGGCCTCTTCGTCCGATCTGGACGAGGCCTTTCGAATGATCCGACGGATCGAGGCTTTGTTGCCACGTCCGGAGCTGCCTGCGGCACACTCCCAGACGTACGCGTATGGTGCGTACCCGGCGTACTCAGCGTACTCGGCGTATGGCGCCGGGGTCCGTTCGTATGGAGCCCCTCCGGCGTACGGTCTTGACCGCAGCCTTGCCGTCCCGACCGAGGCTTGGGTGCCTGCTCCGACGCCCTCGTCGACAACTGTGACCGGCCCTCGCTTCGAGGAGCTGGGTCAGGGGGGGACTGCGAGTCAGCAACCCCCTGCGGGTCAAAGTACCGCTTAAGACGTCCGACATAGAACGTCGGGTGCGTCGTCATTGACTTTGGAAGGTCGATGGTGTACGACGCACCATGTCTGGCCAGGTCTGCAAAAGGTCCGATGAAGCGGTGCTTCAGTTTGTTGCTGCCGACAGAGCTAACAGTGTCTAGAGGTAGGTTCCTCGTGTCTAGCAACACTAAGTCACCAACCTCAAATATACTTAAGTTTCCTCTTCCTTGTTTGTCTGAGTACTCCTTTTGTTTATCTTGGGCCGCTGCCATGGCATCGCGGACCCTGCTGACAATGTTCAGCTTGGTATCCATAAAGGATTCCACCTGTTTCCGCAGCGAAACTGGCCTCACATCCGAGACCTGGGAGGAAAGGGCTTTCCGAGCCCCTCCCCCACTTAGAATAGAGGAGTCAGTGTCTCCTCGAAGAGTGAGAGGCACTCTGGGGTGGCGGAAGCCGTTCAAGTAGAACGGCGTGAGCCCCGTGGACGCGTGCACCGCGTTGTTGAGCGCAAACTCAACAACTGGAAGCTGCGTCGACCACGTACGTGGTGCTGCCGCGCACACACTGCGCAGAGTGTCCTCGAGCACTCGATTGACGCGCTCTGTTTGGCCGTCGGTCTGCGGATGGTCCGCAGTGGACATCTGCAGACGAGTTCCCAGTAAAGGGAACAGCGTTTTCCAAAACGCGGGAGTGAACCACGGGTCTCGGTCCGAGACAATCGTCTCCGGGAGACCGTGATAGCGGAACACGCCATCGACGAGCAACCTTGCGGTTTGTTCGCCCGTTACAGTGACGGGAACTGGAGCAAGATGTACCATCTTGCTCAGCCGACACACGAACACCAAAATTCCGGTGTTGCCGTGTCCGTCGGCGGGAAGCCCAAAGATGAAGTCAAGACTCATCGACTTCCAACAATCAGCCGGTACGGGCAGGCTCTGTAGTGGAGCCGAAGAGTGCCCTGCGGGTTTGACCCGCTGACATGTTTCACATGTCTTGACGTACCGGGCGACCCACTTGTACATGTGGGTCCACCAGAAGGACTGAGAGACCGACAGAAAGGTCTTCTCGCGGCCCTAGTGGCCGCTGGAGGGCGCGTCATGCGCCTCCGCGAGGATGTCGAACTTCAGATCCTCGTCGTTGGGTACGACCACCCGTGGAGGCTCACTGGGCTCCACCCGGCTATAGAGGAAGCCATCCTTCAGCTCATATCGGTGGAGCCGTGAGCGCTGTCGCGACGAGAGCCAGTCGGACTTCGCGCTCGTTCCAGCCTTA